AATGTAACGAACACGGTAATAGCAGAAATACGTATCTGTTAATTTTTTTGAATTCACAACCATAAATATTAATAATAAAACAATGTATGTAAAATTTAATTTTATATTTGATTAAAGTGTTTGTATTAAAATTAGGAAACCTATAAGGCTATAAGGTTCAGCGCTTAGCGCTGAATCAGATTAGGATCGGTAAAAACATGTACACATCATGCAGAAAGGTTTTGGCTCCGGTCTCCGCGCTGAAACGTACTAGGATCGGGAAATACACGCTAACCGTATACAAACAAATATTTCCTTTGTAAATCTTAAAATCCTTGTTTAAGCAACTCCCCGGGTCCGACTTATCGGGTCCAATTGTGAATCTAAACCATCCAGGGCGTCACTTAAACACATACAAAACAATTTATTCAAATCGGGCCAGCCGTTTAGGAGGAGTTCAGTGACATACACACGTACAGTAGAATAATATATAGAAAGATATGATACTAATTATATTCAAGGGAACAGCACGGTACCAACTCTAATTTCACTTGCGTCGGTCAGTAGATTGAATGGCTTACCCGGGAGATAAGGACAGAGTTGTAGTGCGGAGACCAAAGACTTCTTCAACTTCCGGAACTTTTGTTCAATTTATGACCATTTGGTCCTTTTGGTCAATAGATTCGTGAGTGGTGCTGTGATCTCTGCGTTGCGTGGCAGGAACAGGCTGTACCAACCACAAACGCCTAACAGCCGCAACAAGTCTTTCGTCTTTATTGAAACATTGTGTGAATGAAATTTTTACAGAATGTTTATATTAGCAATTTCTATGCACCATTGCATTTTTCAAATATTTCGATTCTTTTTAAACTATATTTTATAGACTAAAGAAAATTTATTTTTATTAGATTTTTTTTAATTTATGTCGATAAAAAATTCTTAAGCTTTAAAAAACTTGAAAATGTAATAAAACGTTCCTTAAAAGTTGTTGTAAGTGGAAAATTAAAAAAAATGGCTGAGTGTAAATTCACACTACTTTTTAATTTTGAAGTTAGAATTTCGACAAAATTTGTAAAAATCACGAGAATTCGTGAATTTTTGGTTGGTATGATTTAAAAATATAATAAAAGATTGTTCATAACATTGTTAAACTTAATTTTAAAAAAAAATACTTACCGGAAAGTCAAATTTAATTTTTATTAGAGTTAAGGTTCAAATTTTTACAAGGAATGATATTCACTCGATTTATTCTCTATGCAACGATTTTCTTATTTTGTTTTATTTCATAAACAAATAAAAGTAGATACTTTAAATGTACACAAAATATTTTCACTTGTTTTTAACTGTTTAACAGACATTTTCAATTTTTAATTTATTTAGTTTTTTTTTCTATTAATGTCAATAAAATTGAATTTGTCAAGTCAAAAAGTTTGGAAATATAATACAAGACCCCTGATATATTGTTAAACAGCAGTCAAAAAATATAAAAATAATATAATAATATATATCAAATGCATAGGCACAATTTTTTTAAATTATTTAAAGTTAAAATGTTGACAATTCATTAATTTGAAAATTGAAAAACTATTTTAAAGTTAAAAATGTATAAAATGTTTAACTAGTATAGCTGTGGATGATTGAAAATTTAAAATAAGGTTCCATGTAAGTAGTTTATGCTACCAGATAATCTAAAAAAATACAAATTAATACAGTTTTATGGTTATTTCATGTTCAAATTTGGACAAAATTACTTATTAAATAATCAAGAATAATTATCCAAAATATTTTGTTGTAATTTAAAAATATTATTCATAGATACTTGAGACTTTTAGGGTGTATTATTAATGTTTCAATGCACAATGATTTTTCAAATATAATGCTTTTGGTAAAAATGATTTTAACCTACTGTAGTACTAATGGTTAATAGTTAAATAAATTACTTTGATCATAATAATATCATCAAATATACTATATAAATAAATTAACCTACATTTTGGAAAGAATTAATTCACACTACTGAATGAAGCTACCTATAATGTCTAATAGAAAATTGTATTATATTTCTAAGCTTTTTGACTTGACAAATTCAATTTTATTGACATTTTTAGATCAGTATCCAGTAATATACCTCAGAGGTTGGTAAAATACAATCTCGCAGGTTCTTTAATTTTATGTTTTTATCTATTTACCTATTAAATATTAGAATTATATTTTTAACTACCTATTGAACACAGTATATCTAATAAATGTAGTAATTTATTTATGCTAATATTTTGTAAAAAACTAAAACCAAAAGTAATATTCATAATACTATAATTACAGTCTTAAGTTGAGCATTAAGTATTCTAAAATTAAGATGGTAATTGTACTATAGTTAAACTGTATACCTATTATACTAAGCTCTTGGTCGTTTTCAGCTAACATAATATCAATAAAAAAAAAACATTAAAAATTATTAAGAATAGGCAGGTAGGTTCAATCTTTGTAGAATGGTAAATAATAGTTTTATAATTATTACATTTTTACAAATATTATATACCTACCTATTTGTTTTAAAATTATAATAATACTCGTAAAAAGTAGTTTGTTGCTATTTTTATGGGTTGCATACACTTGAAATTTTTGTATTTTGTTAATTTGATATGGTTATGTCCATATTCTGAATACAAGATTTTTTGTTTTTGACTGATTTTTACTGTAATGGTTACTTATTAACAAAAACATACAATGTGGTGCATAAGATATGCATCGGTTTTGAATATCCAAATGAATTGTGGTGAATTTTGAATGGTAGAGGGAAGGATTCATTATAATTGTGGAAGTGTCTAGTTTTGCCAAGCGTCAGCTGCTGCCATGGTTTCAACAGGCGAGGAACTGTGACAAATGTTTCCAGAGCACCTGGTCAATTGAGGGGTGACATGGAGAGGTCTTTGCCTAAGAAAAAAGTGTTCAAACATCATCCTCACATCCTAAAAGAACTTGGAACAAAGTAAGAAAATCGCTACATGAGAAATCAAATGAATATCCAATATTATGAAGGTTTTAATTTCAAACTCTCGTACAAATTTAATTTGGCTTTCTGGCAGACATTTTTTTCTGATTAAGGTAGACAAACTTATAAGAAATTGTGCATTAAATTTTAAAAACTTAGATGTAAAAAGACAACATTTTTATGAATTTTAAAAATTTTTATTCTTAAAATAATCTGCAAATGTTTGTGATATTTAAGTTCAAAGGTTCATATAAAATAATTGTGGATTTATTTGAAAAGATAAATAGGTATGTCTTCTGAAAGGTTTAATCAGGATAAAGGAATAGGTAACATGAAACATCTATCATATCTGTTATAAAGAATTGCGGAATAAAAAATCCCCCTGGCCAACAATCCCAGAAAAAAATCCCTAAACTACAATATTAGTCACAAACACATGCAAATTATTAAACAAGTATTTTTTGAAAAGCTAGTTAATGTAATAATTACTAATTACCATCATTATTAATATTTAATGAGAAATATATACTTTATACTAATAATATTGTGTTTTATAATACTGCAATATTGTGTTTCTGTAAAATTAAACAATTGTAAAAATTTTTTTTTACATTAGTTTAGGGTATTTTCTATAACATTTTGATAATATTATATACGATATAAGAATTAAGAACCAAATTAAAGGTTACCTATTGTAGTGTAGGGTGTAGTTATCTCTTATAGTATTGTCACTTGTTATTAATAGTAGTATTTAAATCATTATAAAACTGGAATAAAACACCAATATTAGTTACCAGTAGGTAACTAATGAAATCATTAAGCATCCCAAGTCCGGAGTATAGATAGTTATAAAAAAAATTGTCATCATTGAGTAAGGAAGGTTGACGATTGATTTTATATCGGATCATTATGCTCTCTTAAAATTTGATCAAGTTGGCCTCGGCGGCAAAAACAATTTGTTCGCGCGTGGCGACCGACGTACAGCCAGTGCGTCTGTGAAATGGTCACCTCCGTTCGCCCGATATGCTGTTACTGGTAACGCACGTCCGCCGTAGACGCCGCAGACACCGTCCTGACCTAGTTAGTCATCCAACGACCTTTGCGGCTTTGCTAAACAACTGGCCGTCGTTGGGTCGTCTTTCCGGCCGATCTACGGCTCCTCGTTGTCTCCCGCCTTTATTCGCGACTGCCTTGTTTTTTACGCGACGTGCGTTGTCGTGCCTCCACACCTCCGTCGATGTGCCTCCATACGGCCATCGTTGTGCCTCCATAACCTGCGTTACGCCGCTTCGCCGTTATTGCGACGCTCCCGATAAGGTGGTCGGTCGAACGAACGACCCACATGTACCTTGTGCCGTTCGTACTCGCCTCATAATATTATACCACAGAGGCACAGAACAATGTAGGACTCGGTCAGTTGTGTGGGTTTACGTATTCCCTATTCATTGTTCGACCGTTATGGGCCCATTGGGTCCTACGGTGAATTGCAAGGCCTAACCTAACCTAACCTATGTCGTAGTAGTCGTATGTTCGAATATGTCGAAACACTCGAAGCCCGTACGCGACAACGAGTATTCACCGTATTGCCGTAACACCTGTAAGTGACGAATCGAACGGGAGGACATCGACGTCGGCGGGCACACTGTCGCCGTCACTCATACCCCACATAAACTGAAATCGAGTCGTCAACCGTCAAGTCGTCACCGGAACCACGGATTAATATACTGGATACGCAATGAAACGTCTTATCAATGCTTTTTTTGAGTCGCAGACCTTCTCCGACTGCGGCATAACACCTAGCGCTAATTGATGGAAATATGAACTAAGACAGTGTTGCTACATGATAATTACTTATTATTTTGTATACCATAATATTGTAACTATTCTTACATTACATTATTCCATATTTATATTTAAAATAAAAAGTTAAAATTTAATTTTAAAATTGTAATTTGTAATTGGTTTTTTTGGTTTTTAATGTTTATATTTTTTATAATAATAAACTAAATATTAAATACTACAAACAATTCTTAGAATTTGAAAATAATTAATGAGGAACTAATTTTGACAATTTTTTCTTCACTTTGTTTGTAGATTTTGTTTGTTTATTATTCATCCAAGTGAATTGTCTCATTCGCATGGTTAAATAAGACACAAAAATAAACTGAACTATTTCATGTTTATGTTCATCACAAGGAAATGGAATTAAATAATTCTTGTTAAAAAAATGGTCTATAGTATCATCAAAAACATTTGGGCTTTGAGCATTAAGTTCAAATGAATTTTCAATTTCTCTTAGCAAAATATAAAAGCCACTATCTGGTTGTGTCAAATAACCACGAGACTTAAGGTTTGTTAACTTAGCTGCAGGTAAGTTATTAGTACAATCATTATTTTTAATTCCTGATAGGCAAAGTTGACATTTTGTTTTCTTACTAAGCCTTCTCGCCAAATACCTAAAAAATAAAAAAAATGATTCATTTAATCTATAACACTTAACTATCTATAAACAAAATCAAATTAGTATTCAAAACTAAAATTAATATTTACCCTGCCAAATAATACACAACACAATTAAATGTTGTATCATCTTTAAAATTGGTTTCTCTAAATATATCATCCATGTCCCATTTTCCTTCCTCAACTACTTTGTCTATATAATTTTTTAGTTTCTCAATTTTTGCTTCTCTGACAAATGATTCATCGTTTGCTTTTATTGCATTTTTTAACTCAGTTAAAGTTATTGATGGTGTATAATCCATATCTATATTTTTAAAGTAGGTAATATGTTTTGAATTATCACACAAATATTATTACTAACAATTCAAAATTAAATTAGATACCATCAATAACTGTACAGTTCCCACTTTTTGGTGGTTTAACTAATGAGCAAACAGACAATAATCTGTAAAGTTGGAGGAAAGTTGGTGTAGTTGGGTGATCATTTGGCCCAGAGGTTTGTCGTATTATATCAAATAATTTCTGAAATTAAGTATCAATTAATTATATATGATCAATAAAAATGTTAAATTAACATACTTACATAATTAACTAGTTAAAGAATAACATTAATATACACCAGTATTTTATAAATTAATTGTTATTGCATTTAAGAATTTGAGATTTAATATTATATAATTATAGTTACTCACTTCTAAACTATCTTGGTTTAGTTTTGAAGTCAAAACATAGGTGAAACCACAATCTTCTAATAAAAATAATACTAAATCAATTGTAGACTTTAGTGTTAGCCTTAAAGATTCTGCAGTAGTTTTAGTGAGGAATTTTTTTTCTTGTATAAGACCATCTTCCAGATTTTTTTCCCATTCATCTAACCATAGAAGATTTTGTTTTAAAACCTTCAAAAATAAATAAGAGTATAATATTTTTCAATATTAGCTATGTTCGATTGAATGTAAAAAATACCTACCTAACACAATTTGTATTTAACTCTTAAAGTATTTAACCACACAAATTTGTAACACATATAAACACAGATTTTTATAAGTGGAAAT